AGCCAATCCCACCAGAGTAGGTGTGGGCAGGAGGGAGGAGTTGTGGAACATGCTGCCTTGTTAGTGATGCAAAGAGGAGATTGCTGGCATCTGTGAGAGATTGGAGCAGTCGCTGGTAACTGGATAGTGCTGCTCTGTGACTCACCCATGCTGGGTGACCCTCTGATAGGGTGATGCAGAGCATTGTCTGCATATCTTACTTGGCAGTGACAGCGGTTTTGCTGGTGAGTTTCAATGTGAACCTGAAAAACAACTCTTTGGTTGCTGCATAGCAGTCCTGTGTCTGCCTCCTGCTGTCTTGCTGTGCCTCCAGACCATCGTGGCTGGAGCTGAACAGTACAGCAACATCTCAGTGCTCTGACAGTACCTGGGGGATATTTTCATCTGCTTACCACTTGTAATTTTGCAGATAGGTAGATATTTATCTTCACTGCTGTTATAAATGCATATACACATATGGAATATATGTTACATTACCAGATAAATGCCTACGAGCTAACATTTGCTGACAAATGTTTGCATACAGTCATGTATGAATATCTGTATGTGTAGCTGTGTGTGCTGCACGTTTTCTAAGAGGGTATTTACAAAAGTTAGCGCTTCCAGTCACACAGGCAATGCGGCACCAATCAGAGGGCAAGCAAAGGACACGTGGCTGTCACTGTGCACAGCCAATCAGAGGGCACTGCGCAAACAGCACCTGCTCCTGTCACAAAATGGCGGCTGACACAAAATGGTGGCTCGCAGTGCACGCAACTGGACAGACTTCCTGTTTGCTGGACCACTGGGAGAGCTGGAGTTGTGGGGTGGTTCTGGGAGCCAATCCCACCAGAGTAGGTGTGGGCAGGAGGGAGGAGTTGTGGAACATGCTGCCTTGTTAGTGATGCAGAGAGGAGACTGCTGCATCTGTGAGGAGTTGGAGGAGCTTCTGGTGACTGGATAGTGCTGCTCTGTGACTCACCCATGCTGGGTGACCCTCTGATAGGGTGACGCAGAGCATTGTCTGCATATCTTACTTGGCAGTGACAGCGGTTTTGCTGGTGAGTTTCAACGTGAACCTGAAAAGCACCTCTTTGGTTGCTGCATAGCAGTCCTGTGTCTGCCTCCTGCTGTCTTGCTGTGCCTCCAGACCATCGTGGCTGGAGCTAAACAGCACAGCCACATCTCAGTGCTCTGAGAGATCCTGGGGGAACTGAGTGGCTCCGTCATGGCAGCTGGCACTCTTCCGAGGGCCCCATATATCGCCCTCCTTCTGCAGCTGTGTAAGGCCTGCCTGCCTGCCTGTCATTTACAATCTTTATTATGTGCTCCACCAGTTCTACCTGCTGATATTTTCATCTGCTTACCACTTGTAATTTTGCAGATAGGTAGATATTTATCTTCACTGCTCTTATAAATGCATATACACATATGGATTATATGTTACATTACTAGATAAATGCCTACGAGCTAACATTTGCTGACAAATGTTTGCATACAGTCATGTATGAATATCTGTATGTGTAGCTGTGTGTGCTGCACGTGTCGTAAGAGGGTATTTACAAAAGTTAGCGCTTCCAGTCACACAGGCAATGCGGCACCAATCAGAGGGCAAGCAAAGGACACGTGGCTGTCACTGCACACAGCCAATCAGAGGGCACTGCGCAAACAGCACCTGCTCCTGTCACAAAATGGCGGCTGACACAAAATGGTGGCTCCCAGTGCACGCAACAAGACAGACTTCCTGTTCGCTGGACCACTGGGAGAGCTGGAGTTGCGGGGTGGTTCTGGGAGCCAATCCCACCAGAGTAGGTGTGGGCAGGAGGGAGGAGTTGTGGAACACGCTGCCTTGGTAGTGATGCAGAGAGGAGATTGCTGGCATCTGTGAGGGATTGGAGCAGCCGCCGGTAACTGGATAGTGCTGCTCTGTGACCCACCCATGCTTCTGATAGGGTGACGCAGAGCATTGTCTGCATATCTTACTTGGCAGTGACAGCGGTTTTGCTGGTGAGTTT